ACAGACAGCATCGACTTCGGAAAAAGCGTCGCGTCACGTGAAAAACTGTACGAGGGATTCGTCAGGGCATTTCTTTGGCCAGCCTTGTCTCATATAAGTCAAAACTTCCTGTAGCAATGCGTCTTGGTTCGTGGCTTGCTAAACCATTCTTGCGTTTATCAGTAAGGTACTTACGGCATCGCGTATCATGTGGTTGGTACCCGTGTCGGTTGTGATTGAAGCGATAACGGCATCCTCAGGCTCACGTCGACTAGTATCGATTAATCTGGGCAAAGCGTTCGCTTATCCAATAGAGTCAGTTGACGAATACCTCATGTTGTAATCGTGTCCCAAGAGCAAGGTGGCTCATCTCTGAAGTCGACTGGTGGTGTACGCCGGAATACCCTTTTTGGATCCAAAGATACCGAGTAAGGGTTTGTGATCCATCACTAATGTGAAACGCCTACCGTAAATCATTTTGTGGAATTTCTGAACAGCAAAGACAATTGCGAGAGCTTCTTTCTCGATTTGGCTGTAGTTCTCAGAGGTGGCCATGGCTCGTGTCGCATGCGCCAAAGCCTTTTCTGAACCGTCTGGAAAGCGGTGTGAAATGGCTGCACCAATTCCATAGCTCGAAGCGTCTATAGCCAGGATGATATCCAGATTCGGATTGTAATGAGTAAGCAATAGGTCTGACTTCAGCAGAGATATCAATTTCTCGAATGCTTGTGGACACTGGACCATTTCCATTCGACATCTTTCATCAGCAGATGATTCAGAGGTTGGCGTAGACCATACATAGCTGGCAGAAACTCACTATGGCGACTCACCATAAATAGGTTGAAGACAACTACTAACACGACGATATTGCAGATGCTAATTAATGCTACTTAACACAACTCACACGGTTCAAGTTCAGAGTTCAACTTGCCTCTGACCTCACAGTGATTCACGTTTTCCTCTTTACTCTAGTTCGAGTGTGAAATACTGTTTTTCCATACAACTTACAATATTTTGCCTGGATCAGTGACGCTAACTCGACTTCATTCTCAGACAGCGCAGTTTTCCTCGGAGCATACCGTTCGAGATCTCATATAACCAGAAACTACAGACAGCGTCAAGTAATGCTGCATGAATCAACTTTAGTTAAAGTCCTCAATTGCCCTGCACACAAACATCTGCTCACGTTAATCCAATCAGCCAACGATGACTCAGTCTTGGAGCTGCGAACTATACCAACCCAGCTAGATCAATGATTTCCGCATCAATGTCTGCGGATGCGTGTAACCGATATTGAGTAAATCAGCCGAACGCAGTTCAACGACCACTTGCAGTTCATTGATCCTAATTTTGAGCAGGCAACACCTCAATATCCATGTGGCCATAGATCGTCATGGTTGTATGGCAGCGAAACATCAGTTCAAATGGCTGATATACTGTTGTTGTTGTTGTTGTTGTTGTTGTTTGTTGTTTCTGTTGGCGTGCGATTGCAACCTGTTGATCTATTTGTTTTGGAGTGTGAACGTTGAATGCCGACAAGAAAACGGGGCATTGTGGCTCTATAGGTCGTTCTTGGACACAGATAGCCACTTCATGTTGCGGGATGATAGCTGCAGATGGTGTACCTTCAGTAGCATCCCAGCCATTGTCAATTAAGTTCAATGATGTGATCGGGGAAACAAGTGGAGAAGAAAGAAGGGTTGCGCTAGCAGTAAAGTTTTGCTCAACCGCCCTACTGTATGCAGAAAGCGAGGCAAACCATCTAAAGCTGTGCGACGGCCTGAGATGTGATTGAAGTTTGGCGAGGGCTCAGATACTGTCAGTTCGCCCAGATCAAGGTCCTCAACCAAAGCCTTTGGAAACGTTTCGGTTGTATAGTAACGGATGCCATCTCCGATCTGGAGAACCAGAGAACAGTTTATCTGATCTCATCATTGGGAGTAGCTCTCAGAGTGCTCGGAAGCACCATCCAGTTTAGCTAAGTGTGTCGAAGAGGTACTCAAAGGTCTATTCTCGTCGCAATGATTTGAAGAGAGCAGCAATTAAGTTGCGAGTTACCACTGTTTCTGTTATGATATATGTTAGGACTCACCAGTAGAGTTTGCGCAATGAACCAACTAACTCATCGGACGCGGGACAAACGAACCCAATACTTGGATGCATCAGTCATAGTTTTCCATTTACCCTTGGTTGATAGCATTGGGTTAGAAAACGTGGATTGTAAGATGACGCCGTCATTTTGTGCATTCTTATCAATTACAAAAACATGCAACATTGGAATATAAACAAACGGTGATCAAGGATAGCAAAACGCAGAGGCTACTACGGTAGGCTTAGAGACACTATCAGCTGCTTTTGAATGCACAGCGGTGGTCGTTCGCGATCTTTAGCTATATCCCCCAATAGCCTAAGGATTCGTGGCCGCTGATCGCGCATTAGAACTGTGAACGACTCATCAGGATCGACTCGGTGACCAATAGTCTGCAAGTGCCTGGTGACTGCTGAGGTAGATCGGTTTCCCGAGTCAACTGATTCCGTCGTCACAGATCCCATGTGGCTACGTAACTACTTTGGGATGTGTTGATTCGGATACCTAAGCTTCGGTTAGTGCGCCCGACGGAGCTATCTCTACAGCTACAAGCATATGTGTATAGTCGGGGGGGAATGCACTGCTTTGTCATAGGTGTCCTAATCGAATAAATTAGCATAGGTTTAGTCGAGATGAGTAGCCGCAATTCCGTCGTTTTGTTCACCTTTTTTCAATGAGGCACTTATGCGTTTCACATTTGCCTGTAGCTGTGGCGGTAGCTACATCAAGCGCATTGAAAATAGCGTTTGGCTTACTCGCTATGACACTTTCTGAACGTGTAATTCGAAGTGCTTGGAATAGCGTTCAGTTGTTTTCGATCGCATTTTTTTCCACCAACTCAGAAGCCTCGATATTCACCAACGCTTTCGGTCAACTGTGTTGTTTTTACACCACTCTAGAGTACCACCGACATTCTGCGAATGTTTGCACACCCGGCATATTTTACGTACTTTGCATACATATCCTTAATCCCTTCGCCTCGAGTTCGACGGGTTAGAGGCTTCCAATTCCGTCTTCATGATGTCTTTATTGACATCCAACCCATTTGCCTCATCTGGAATAGCGGCCTATCTAAAAGGAACAAGGGTGTTGACAATATGCCGGCACACCGTACCGATGTTTCGCAACCATGCGACCACCATCATCGTATGTGGGTTAAGCAGAATGCTGTAAGGTTTTTCACATCTACTCAAAGCAGCCACCTTATGCCAACCAATTTACAATTGGCGATATAACTTTAACTGATAGCGATTTTTCTTAAACGGTGAGCCTAGAGGATGTGTAGGTAGCTTTGCATCACTGTTCTCCGCTGAGACCAGATGACTGAGTGCTGTCCATGTATTTCAGTAGACGTATTCCAATTTTTGATATGTGCGACAAGTCGACCGACATCCGCCAGGTGAAACACATGATAGTATGGTCTATTTGAGTATGGCATATAGTTTGGTATACGGGCACCAAATTACTCACTGCGAGCGCTTGTGCTAGGAAGTTTTGCTGCGGATGTGAAGTCGATCGCAGTAAAAAGCTACCCTATGTTTCTCTTTATAACGGTCTCGGTTTGAATGCCCTGTTTCTAGCTGAGGCAACCTGTGTAACGCAGGCCTCTCCCATTCGACACTACTAGCACATTTGGCGGCCTACGTGACTACCATCTACCTATGTGAATCAGTTCTTCCTGGAAATGTAACCAGCATACATGGTTGAGTGCTGAGTGCCATTTCACATTTTCCCACTCAGGACGGGATTTAAAATCAAGTGCGATTGGACAAGTGTCTTGACGAGGCAATTGCTTAAAGCAATCCGAAGTCGGGTATGGAGGAGAGTTGTTGGCTAGAGCAAGCTTATCGACAGCAGCACGCTTTTTCTTTTACCTTGTGAAGAACCGTTTGTCACCAGCTTGTTAGGCTCGTCGTCTCATCGCTTCAAATGATAATTGTTCTACTTGGTTCGTAGGATTCTTTAGAGGACTTACTGGTGACGAACGTTGTCTGGCCGCTACTGCACACTCTGCTGCTGACGATAAAGGTCCGGCAGATGTCGCTTTGGAACTCAAACTGCTACACGAAATCACCATTCCGACGCGACTGGCGTCCTACTACGTTGTGGCCATGTTCCCCTTTTTTGTCTCGGTCGAATGTCGTGTTACAGATATAGCGATATCACTCTGGTCAGTGCTTTCTTGGTGTTCTGTGGCAGTCACGTGGAATCTAACTGGCTTGAACTTTATTCAAACATGTGTTTGTAATTCAGATCTTTTTCCACGTTGTGAACGCATTCTGCTTTACCTTTACAAGCTTCTTTACAGATCGAATAAGGCCCCAATTGCCCTCTGAATTTGGCAACTATTCGTAAAACATTCATTTTGACTCCTGGGCAAACGTCGCATCAACTCCTACACTTTTGCTTGCTTGGTAGGGAAATGATTATTACCGCTTTTCCTTCCTTCTTCCTCGTCAGTTTATTTTACTTTATGTGACTTACTCGTTCGCTATCCGCTTTGCATAGCCACTGACTGCTTTCTATCGCTTTGCTTGCCTTGGAGTTGTGCGCACCTCATAAGGCCCCATAGCGGATTAGATACTTTTCATGTCCTTAGGATAGTGTATACCACACACCTTAGTAGTTCAGTCTCAGTTTGGAGCTCTTTGTTGTTGTTGTTTTCATTCCAAACGTACATCCACTTTTTAGCACATACTTCTGTTAAGTCACGGTGATCCCATTATGTGCCTCTGGCCGTTGGTGCGAACGGCCCTTTGAGTGTCCCTACTGCCTCATCTTTTTTTAGGCTTCTTCAGCGTTCCAACACATTGCTATCAACCAACACAGAGCAGCAGCCACTAATTGGTTTGTATTTCTATCAATGGAACCGCGTTTATCTTACTGTATTGTATCGATTACACTTACATTGTTTATTATGTTTTCTTTCTAGGGTGGCGAAATCATGTTATGTGATACCTGTCCACGCGCTTATCATTTGGTCTGTCTTGACCCGGAGTTAGAGGAAGCTCCAGAGGGTAATTGGTCCTGCCCTCATTGTGAGAAGGAGGGAATCACTTCGGGCTCAGTTTTGGAGGCCAAGGTTAACGAACCCAAAAGCTCTGGAAAAACGAACAAGCAGGCCACCGTTGCTTCACCGGAAAAAGATGAGCACCAAGAGTTTTGCACCGAATGTCGTGATGGTGGTGATCTAATTTGCTGCGAAAATTGCCCTGCTAGTTATCATATGGGTTGTTTAGTTCCACCGCTATCCAGCATCCCAGAAGGTGTTTGGCTGTGTCCTCGTTGTGGCTGTAAACCCCTCAAGGCTAGAGTTTCTAAAATCTTAACCTGGCGTTGGTTCGAACCACCAAAGGAAAATGATGAACTTGACCACACTCATTCCTCACGCGAAGTCAGTTCGGGCGACTGTGTGACTGACAGATCTGTAAAGGACTTCGTTCTAGCTGATTCAGGCCTCAGTAGAAAACTTACTGCTGCGATTGATCAGCCAGATCCCACTCATAATAAACTCAACAACGCCTCCAAGCCAGACGGTCCACTTCAGTCTTTGAGTTCAAAAGGCGCCACCACCGGAATGAACAGTAGAACTTCATTGGATGGACTGTCCTGTACGACTACCAAACCCGTCGTTATTCGGCGCCCTACAAGGGAATTTTTTGTCAAATACGTTGACCTATCCTACTGGCATTGTGAATGGCTCAGTGAGTTACAGATGGACGTGCATCATCCCATTATGTTAAGAAACTATTTCAAAAAGAACGACATGGAAGAACCTCCTTTGCCGGAAGATGGTAGTGCCTATAGGTACGTGCTTATTTGTGCGTTGTTCTTCCTTCCTGTCCTAGCTTGTTTTGTCTTTTCCCCTCATTACCAGCCTGTTGTGCGTCCTCCGACTGACTGGATCGTTCAAAGCCTCGAATTGGCGCGAAGTCAATAGGCGCCTATTTGTGATTGTTGGCTACGCCCTCACAAACTAGCGCTGATTCGATGAAAGGTGACTTATAATTAAGTACGGGTACTGTGTTGCTTTCTGGTGATCTGAACGTCCAAGTTGGAAAACTAACCACAGTTGAGCTGTATTTGGGCAGTCAACACTGGGTAGGCTTCAGTACTGCTAATGATGAGGGATTGCTACACCTGTTTGAAGATGCTCTTCTATTTCTGGAGAGCACTAATTCCAGACGCAGCACTTGCAGAAGAGTGACATGGTTCCAACGATCCTAAGACCAGCCATTAACACGAATCGATCACATCGTGCTCAGTTACCGTTGGAGAGCTTGCGTCCAAAACTGTCGCTCGATCTGTAACACTAGCATGAGCTCGGACCATGCACTGGTATGCACTGGTCTCCTGGCGCATTTCGATGGACGCCGACGACGACACCATTGCTGTATAGACACACGCCGGCTGGTGAAGCCGGTTGTTCTATACATCTCAAAATATGCTGGCATCCGAGCAGAGGAAGTACTCACTGAACATATTTGGCGACCACTGTTCGCCAAATGTATCTCTTCGTGTGGCAGATCTGACAGTCAACCCAGACATTAGGTATGTACGCAATCTCTGGAACATCTAACTGATTGCCGACGCATTCCAACTGAAGACGAACGCCACGAGATTCTCAGAAATCTGATAGAAAAATTGCGTGCCAGTCTAAAAAGAGACCGTAAAGCCTGATTGTCTCATCCCGCGTCGGAGATGGAAGCAGGCCCTGTTCTTGTTCACCATCGGTGGTTATATCGACGAGCAGGGACCTGATGTTAGTGAGACTGTATGCGACGAGAGTCGACAGTCTATCCACAACCAGTCAAAACAGTTGAGCTGAACACATTTCATCAGCCGGAACTATCAGATTCGCGACCGGCTAGTGATCACCATATTCATTGGGCTGTCCCTCTTGATCCGCAGATGTTGAACGTGAGATCGAATTGCTGAACTTAAATACGCCTGCGGAATCAGATGGGCTCCCTCCAGCCCTATCCAAATTCGAGGAACCTGCTCGTGTAATTAAATTACACTTTAGTGAATCTGTTAGAACCTGAGACTTTCCCAGTCGACTGGAACAGCTTCGTTATTGTCTCTATCTTCAAGGGGCTCATGTTCGGCATGCGGCATCCACCACCTCTAAGTTACTTGCGTCTGTCGTCCTTCACAGATTGTGGTGCACCCGTGAAGCCGGATTCGGGGAGAGCAAGCCGGGTTTCGTCGAAATCGAGGCTGCGTTGATCTTCACTTTTGCGCCGGTTATTGAAACACCGCTATTTACGTCCGTGATTCACCCTAGTCATGTTCATGGACATCGAAGATGGTTTCGATTCGGTGAATCGGTGTGCTTTTTGAGACTGTTTGATGAGGAATGGTATGCCAAAGGAATCCGTAAGCATTATCAGAGCGTTTTATGTGCGTACTTCTGGCAGAATGAGGGCTTATTGCAAACTGTCGCCTCCCTTCATTATCTCCAGCGTTGTGAGACAGGGATGCCCGTTGTCACCCTATATTTTGAATTTCGCCATTGGCGAAGTCATGGAAATTGCGTCCACTAGACACGGCTTGAACGGTGTGGAGCTGCTCCCAGGTGTTCGATTTTTTGACTTGGAGTATACTGACGATCTTGCCCCACTCTGTGATAGCTCACGGACGTGCCAAGCAACAGTGGGTAATTTAACGCTATCTGTCGGCCGTTTCCCCTTCGAAATGCGAAGTATTTCTCTATGATTTGCAGGGACCGGCCCTTGCGCTGACGATTCTTTGTGGGAATCGGCTGGAAGTCTTTCAGAAATTCAACCATCTTTTTAACTGTATCAGTGACTGTGGGATCGCAGACTGGATCAAGAATAGTGTAGTAAGGGCTGGAGGTGTTTTAAACAATTCTCGTTGCTTGTGACGTCTAGGCGACATCACTCTCGCTCTGAAGGGAAGAATCTACAGTGCAACCGTCCGTCCAACCTTCATGTGAGGTTGTGAAATCTCGTTCATCAAATCCACAGACGTAGAGTCTAGGTACCTTCGACAGTCGCTTTCTTCGCATGTCTGTTGGAAACACCGCGTGAACATTGCGCGTTTTCGTCGTCGCGTATTTGATATGGCTTGGAGCCGGCCCCAATGGCGTTTGTGTTGTGAGTTCCTTTGTCCATCCCCCTCCAATCACGATCTCACTTGTTAGGCATAATATGACTCTCTTTTACGGCAGCTAGCTGTTAGCTCTCCGGAACCATGTCCGTCCGTTACTGGGGACTCAGCGGGCGTGCCACCGTTTGTTTTCCTTTTCTTGTCTTTTGTATTGCAGCACAATAGCTGTGTTTTCCACCTCTAGCTAACGTGTAATGATGATGATGATGATTTGATACAGGAAGAGTGAGTAAACCGCTCAACACCATGATTTCATGCTCTGCTGGCTAGACGATATGTTAGTATAGCAGCACCTCGACCTCCGCGACGTACGTTGTTTGCGCGTCGGAGTGTAGGTGGAAGAAAAGTAGGAGATGCCAACCGAGGATCTGACTAAAGAGAATAAGTCTATCACTTCTAAGTTGGCGTCGGTTGATACCACCCGATTTCCGAGCTGGGATCCCAAGGATGATGAACAACTTTGCTTGGGTGCAGATGTTGGCATGGCGAAGAATCGACCTCAGTGACGTTTGGGTTGTGAATTTGTTTGTCTCACTCCATCCCGCTTATCTTCCCTCACCAACCCCGATCTTAATGCCGATGCCCCACTGTGACCATGTCTCCCACTGCCGAGAATAAACAGTTTATCTGCTCGTAGTTGTGATGTAGCAGTGCTAAGCTGACCCTAAGTGTCAAAGACGTCCAGTTTGTTGGTGCCCTCGGAACACATTGTCAATCTCTGTTCATATGACAATGCTGTTCATACCACCGCTTTTAGGAGTATTTAACCCAGAAGGCGACATCACATCTCTTCTGATGCTTCTGGCTTTCAGATGCCAAGTGACCTTAAAATCCGCCTAGCATTGTTTTCATCGATTTGACTACTTGAGGCGGTACAGGTAAGTACGCAAAGCAAACACATCTAGTAGCTGCTTTAGTTTTAATGTTACTTCACCATGTGGTTACTCGACTTCTCGTGGTCTACACATCCTACAGCTTATAGGCAAATTAATATCTTTTGCAACCACATGCTTCTGTGAAAGCAGGCATGTGCTGCACCTCATGTGGAAAATAGACATCATATTTTTTAAGACACAATGTTGTCTCACCACTGACTGCGCACTTTTGGCGAATGAACGACGATTGTTGCAGCTCTCGCCTTACCTGTTCCACCAACAGATCGGGCCTCAAGCTACTAGTCTTCTCCGTTCGTTTTATCGTCAGTATTTTGTTTACAGTTTTCCACTGCGTACATTGAGTTTCTTAACCAATCCGCTGATTCCTGGATCTCGCTTAAGCTCTACAATCTAGACAGTGTTTCCATCAGAGGAATTATGCACGTGTGAGCTGACTTAGTCCATCAGCTACTTTGTCGTGAAATGCATTTGGGGTTTACTTCTCGTAGTTGACAATAGATGACTATCATTGGTGGGTCCATACCTCCACTGCACATAAACGCTACTGTGTGACCTCAGTTCCATCTGCAGCTGACAAATCTTGATCCGTACTGTATACCTGATAGCCAGGTCAGGCCAACGCTTTGTCCTGGTGCGCCATTTTTATTGGTTCTGACCACCTTATGATCTTTTATTAGCTTCCTACAGCTCAGTCTTGTCGAGTTAAACCCGTTCATTAACCTTATCAATGTTGTGACCACCAGCGTTGGTGTCACTGCCAAAATAATTTAACCTACTGACTTCTTCTGTTTGGGCGTTCGGTAACAGAATCGGCAGTATGTCTGCCCAATCTGGCAACTACTTCGCATTTGAAGGTGCATAGCGAATGACGAGGCATACCATGCTCTGCCTCGTTCTGTCTAACGTCGCTTCTACGGAACTACGTCCAACTCAGGTAGGCTTATCAGTGGTCTTGCGGCAGAATTTGCACTTCGGAATAGCTTTAGAGGATAGAATAATTTAAGATCACATAACTTAAGAGGATAATTGATACAGGACAGTTTTGGACCATCCCACCTACCGCGTGCTACACAGAAAACAGCATCCTGTAGAATCTCAATCGGTCTCGAAAATTTAAACAGGCAATAGAATGAAATAGATTCAATATCTCAGAACACCCTTGGGACCGATCAGGTTTTGTGATCAACTGGTAAATACATTAGCCACTTGTTCGCAATAGTTTCCTTGACGCTGGCTTCATCGTGCGGTAAAACCACAAGCTTGCAGCTCAACCGCGTCTTTGATGAATTTCATGTCAACTTTGTGGCGAGACCTCGACATGCGTCTCGTTGTTCCAGTATTCGAAGATAATATATTTGCTCGTCTACCGTGCTGACACCTTTGATATAAGAATGGAATTTCCATTTTTGATAACGGCTGTTTGCGGGACCATCATAAACACCGTTCTTCTCTGTGAGAATAGCTTGGCCGCCTGCGGCGCATGGAAGATAGACTGCCTCCATTGGCTCGATTAATGCTTGTTTATCCGTACTCGTGCTCCTGTGGTGCACGATACGTAGGTCCTACTACGGGGCGCCTATCTCATAGGATTCCTGAACACATTCTAAAGTGGTTTTACAGAGGCGAAGCGAGGTCTACTATGGTTCCATCATATCGCGCCTCTTAGCGTGCGGTCACGCAGGCTCAGAAAACGACTTCAAGGTCATCTACTCTATTCCTGAGCGTTTCGCGCGTTGATTCCGGAAGCATCTATCTATTGTAGAAGCTCTCTATACCCGCCACCCCAAGCCGGAGTTGTGCGCATAAAAGCAATTTACATGCCCCTTACTTCTACTATGACTTACGACTTCCGTTACATGGTCCTTTGGTTGTGGAAGTGATTTGCCCCTATACATTTTCTGCCACCTTCAGTGACCGCGTAATTTGTCGATCCGTTCCCGTTGGAATTAAATTTCTAATCAAAATGCAGCCCTATCCGGTACATTTAGCATGTAACCGTCATCGTTTAACGTGAGTCTGATGTGAGTTGCCGAAAAGAATACATTACTCAGTATCTATCTCACTACCATTTCTTTTTTCCCGTCGTTACTTGCGTAGTGTCTTCCGTACCGGGTGGCACCAATATGCGCACAATGATTAGCTACTCACATGAGTATTAGGTGGTGTTGGTCAAGTGAATTCGCTAAAGCATCCAAGCTCTGGATAAGCTGCATTTATGGCATGTGCTATTTATACCTCCGCACTGCTATCCGATGAGGTTCTAGCGCATTACCGCAAGGTTCAAAGGGAGCAGTTGTTGCTTTGTTTGCACGGAGCGATGTCATTGAGCGTGATAAGGTAGTTCAGCTGGGATCACGGTCAGTAGTCGTGGGGTTTTTGCGAATTTATGCCTGCTTAAAGTAGGGTCGATATAGCTCGAGACGAACAGTGGCGAACCATTGATTAGTAGCACTCGTCGTCCTAGTTGACCCGTGATACCTCTTCTCTACACCAGTCTGACCGCTTGTATACTTCAGCTGTCCTCAACTTCAAATGAACAGTGTTGAAACCGAGTTTATCTGATCCATTGACTGTGAAACTCGCGACAACCCATTCTAGTCCATCTCGTTCTCCGCATGCCCGTTGAGTAAATAAACTGAACTGCGAGCTTGCCTTACTTCAGCCCCTAGATCAGTACCCTTAACCATAACATTTTATTCATGTCCACTGACGTTGAAAATCTAGTCCTCCGAATTACTCGGTCTCCTTTTTCCGATAGTTTTGGTCACTTAACGAAAGATTTGTTAACATCTTATCTCGTCGGAATTGTCTCCCACTAGCTTATTCTTTTCACTTTTTAGAGGAAGAGCCCGTGAAAAAGCCGCTGACCCGCACAATCTCGAAGAACGTTTTTACAAATGGGGTGTTCGCCCTGAATGGCTTCAAATACACCGCATAATTGATCATCGAACTGGCCGAGGGAGTCAGGAGTGGTTCCTAGTAAAATGGCGTGATTTGTCCTACGACGAGTGCACCTGGGAACCTCCAGACAGTGACATCACCGACATGTCACGATTTATCGAGGAGTATCGTACGATGCGCCAAGTGTTCCAGGGCAACCTCTGCATATCCGTCGCTCTGGACGGGACCCAATCCCTTGTCAGTATGTCACGGAAACATAAAATTAACCGTCGAGCATCTAGGGAGGCGGCGGCTGAAAAGTTGCGTCCGGAGCTTTTACGTAAACTGCCTCCCGATCGTTGTCTTGCAGATCTCAAGAAACAATATACCGTGCAACCCAAATTCTTGGACGAAACTGGTGGACAATTACATGAATATCAACTGGAGGGTGTTAACTGGTTGCGCTTTTCCTACGGGAACAAAGTGGACACCATCCTCGCTGACGAAATGGGCTTAGGAAAGACCATCCAGACCATAGCATTTTTATACTCCCTGTACAAAGAAGGCCATTCTCGCGGACCGTTTTTGGTGGCTGCCCCATTATCTACCATCATTAATTGGGAACGTGAATTTGAATTTTGGGCCCCTGATCTCTACGTGCTCTCTTATGTTGGCGATAAGGATTCTCGAACTGTGATTAGACAACACGAGTTCTCTTTCGACGAAGGCGCCATCCGTGGGGGTTCGAGAGCGATGCGGATGCGTAGTGGCACTGCGGTTCGTTTTCACGTCCTGCTCACCAGTTACGAGTTGATCAGCATCGACCAAGCGCTTTTGGGTTCTATCGATTGGGAAGTGTTGGTAGTGGACGAGGCCCACCGCTTGAAAAACAACCAGTCCAAGTTCTTCAGAATTTTGGCCAGCTACAAAATCGCCTACAAGCTTCTTCTCACAGGTACACCGTTGCAAAACAACTTGGAGGAATTGTTCCATCTGCTTCACTTCATGACCCCAGAGAAATTCCATGATATGCAGGGATTTTTAGACGAATTTGCTGACATCTCGAAAGAGGAGCAAGTCAAAAAGTTGCATGACATGCTTGGACAGCATTTACTTCGTCGTCTGAAGGCTGATGTACTACAAAACATGCCTTCAAAGGGAGAGTTTATCGTGCGTGTCGAATTGAGTCCAATGCAAAAGTAAGCTCGCTTTTAACCCTTTTTCTTCGAATTCCACACCATCATCTTGTCCCAAATATTGTCACAGATGAAACGATATCGCTCTGCGACTGGCTTTATGCTTATCTGTTGTATTCATGTAGAGGATAGCCCAGTCGTGTTTCAAACCCTCAGTTGTTGCGATGTTCACCGAGCTTGACAATTTAATCGCAAACGCTTCATCACCATTTGAAGTGACATAATCAGTACAGGGGTGATAGCAATTTCGTAACAGAAACTATTGGAAGGCAACCTGAGGGATGGACAATTCAAACCTCCTGTTCGTTGCTTGCAGCGTCAGAGGGCTAGTGAGAGAAAGAGAGGTATCAACACTACGCCGGTGCACCGCACCGACGCTTTGCTGCCACACGATCACCACTAGCAGCGCGTGGGCTAGGAATACTACGCCCGCATCCACGCAGATTCGAATTGACGACTTCTGGGTTTCAAGATAGACGCCTCATCTCTTCGGCCACCGACCGAGGCAGGGCTAGTGAGTTCGATTAGTTCTTGATGGATCCTTCAGTTACATCGTCTTTTCTCTATTGGATCCATTAAACATGCGTGAATCTGCGCTTGAAGTATCTTGCTGACCTCGATCACCAACCTTTGATCTTATTCACCAAGGTTCATTCAACTTTCGCCTACTTATCTCACTCGAATTCGCGGCTAAGCAGCAAAGTACTAAATCCCTAGACGTTAAACAAGACGTCGAATGAGTGAATGTCAGTCCTTTCCACTGTTTTTGTATTTATTGCAATATTCCGGAAACCGGGCTCCCTGGCTAGTTGTCTACCGCCGTCGATATTGCACCATTTGGTCAGTTTAGTCACTCGTGTCTTATCATTGGTTTAGTTATCCAACCTCGTACGATATTTTGCGTTTACCGCTGCTCTACTAACCCGGTTATCCTCAACACTAAGGTGCTTCTGTTGTTCCCTTTTCAGGCGATATTACAAGTTCATTCTCACTCGCAACTTTGAAGCTCTAAGCTGTCGTAGTGGTGGATCTCATGTCTCATTGCTGAACATAATGATGGATTTGAAGAAATGTTGCAATCATCCATACTTGTTCCCCTCGGCTGCAGAGGAAGCACAACGTCTGTTAACTGGAGTCTTTGAGGGTAACACTCTTCGCAAAGCCTCCGGCAAATTGGAGCTCATGAGCAAAATGCTACGCAACCTTCATGAGACCAAGCATCGTGTTCTCATTTTCTCTCAGATGACTAAGATGCTTGACCTACTGGAGGATTTTCTGGATTTCGAGGGCTACAAATTTGAGCGCATAGATGGCGCAGTCACTGGACAAATGCGACAGGACGCTATTGATCGGTTTAACGCTCCTGACTCACCTTCTTTCGTTTTTCTTCTATCCACTCGGGCCGGTGGTTTGGGGATTAACTTGGCTTCCGCAGACACTGTGATCATCTATGATTCCGATTGGAACCCCCACAACGATATTCAGGCTTTCTCGCGTGCCCATCGCATTGGCCAATCAAACAAAGTTAGCTACTTGTCCAACTTCGGTTTTTATTATCATCATAGCTACTAATCGATTTTTTGCGTATCATCTCACCATCCATATGTTTGTGATTCTCAATGGGAAATGTTTTCATTTGGTGAGTCCAACGGCTGGGGTTAGTCGATTTGAAGGAGCATATAGGCATTTGCTCCAGCGAGTCTACTGAGCCACCCGACAGGAAGCAAATTTTCCCTGGAACGCAAATTAGACCGATGATATTCAGCTGCGATTTATAGAACACCACCAATTGTTTGCATCTACTTGGTTAAGGCACTGGATAACAACTTTTGTAGCAGTGGCACAGATGTTCTATACTCAGCTAAAAATCCAGCGTACTATGTTCGCACATTCTCCGAACACCGGTTTGTTAGGACAATTATCTTGTTATCTCTATTCAGTTGGAAAAACATTTGAAGCCAGCTCACTTTCAGGTGTGCCTTATGTAGGCGCCAAAATGCTTGGGGATTAAACCAATGTGTATCCAGCCGGGAATACAAAACTAACAAAGACCAAACCGAGGCAATGGTGCTATTGAACAAAATAAACATCAAAAACGGGCAATACCTTAACGATTCCCAAACTCAAATGCGCCAACAGGTCCCTCAATACAAAACAATCTCTAGATTAAATTCCCATTCCAATCTATGAGGCACAATCAAACATGTAAGGGTGTACATATAGGTCATGCAGTCTGACCAGAAACTGGCGCTAGGCAATGAGGGTCGCCTCGGCCTATAGCCACATACGGACAGCATGAAGCACTCGCGCAATGAGGCACGCAACTCCGATTAATATAAAATCGCTTCAACTGTCAGGTGGTCAATGCGTAACACATGACTTGGCTTAGGAGTGGTTGGCAATGTCTTGTATGGCGTTTCACTACTCCCCGGTTTACTCTTTTTCTAAATTCTGCTTCATTCCGTCAACGGCATCTCTCCCTGTCTGAACTTCTTTCTATCCCGATGTCACATGTCTGTCTTTCTACCGTGTCCCGTTTTACACTGCATCTACTTCCAGTTGAGTCACGTCTCACTCCCAATGACGGTCATTTGGAAATGCGGCAGTACGTCTGCGAACTCGACGGCACATTTCGCTATTTATGAAGACCCCCCATTAACGACTTTGGATCGTTACCTATCCACAACCATCTTTAGTTTCGGTTTCCGTCTGACTAACCCTGTCGGCTGGTTTGTCGGTCTTATCGGACACGGTGTTTTGCATAAACCTGCTCAGCTTGGTATTGATCTTATCATTCCAAGCTGCGGGAACTACTATAGTTGGTAGCTTCACTGAATCTAACGACAGGTGCCAAGTACCATCGAATCTCTCACCTTGCATCAAGCATCATGTGAAACATCAACTAAGTTCTTACTGGTCCACTCTGAGTGCACTAGACACGTATGGTTATGATCGGCACATCGACAAGTGCCATTTCTTCACAGTGGTACATGTAAATGTAGCTCTCCTAAAAGAGACATCAGCAGTACGCGGGTACGGAGTACCGACGCTTCGCTGCAGCGCAACCAATACTAGTCGCACGTAGGCTAAGGATAATGCGAGGCTCGAACCTGCGCCCTCAGATTACAAGACAAGCATGTTACCTTTAGACTACAGCCGGCTCTCCGAGAACCAAAGCGAAGACCGGATGGTGATCCAAAAACCGGCCATTAAAGAACAGTGAATCATTTAATACTGTACACGAATCCGATTTAGTATGTTACTAATGTACACTTTCAATAGCTGATTCTTGCTAGCCATCTGCATAAGTTCACTGGCTCACGCTCATAGTTCGTTCTCAGCTATTTGAGCCACTCCTACCTTGACTGGAACAAAGTTGCGCTTTCTTCGCTACACCATAACCCAATTCTGGGCTGTACATCAAGTGCTTGCGAAAGTGGTCAGCTTGTGTTGGCTGCACTGGTTGGTTTCCCTCCTGCCGGCTTAGTGTGTTCCTCCCGCTCGGTCTATCAGCCACCATGGTACCATGCGCCGTTCGCTCAGGGTCAGTGTCGCATGGGAACAACTCGCTTGCCTTCGTCTGGTACCAAAGGCATGCTTGACTCCCACTACAACCCAATTCCTTGCTGTTCATCCAGCCCGTGTAAGCGGATCAACTTGCGCTCGCCGGGTTGTTTGACCTTTCAGCCCACTAGCTGCGCGTCGGATTCGTTCTTATAACCTGCGAGCTACTGTCACAGTATTGATGGACGGCGACTGACATTTTCATGGTTTGTTTTGCTCCTTGAAGCCAGGTTGTTCACACCAATTGGTTACCTCATCACAGCCGCTGTTTGTTTGGGTCAGAAGCTGTCGCTACAGTCTGCCGTGGTTATCGTCCTGATTCTTCCGCAGACCCAGTTAACGGATAGGCTAAACACTGCTCCTTGTATCAGGTTATTCCGGTTTTGTCACCCCACAGATTGCTCACCCGTATGCTGTTTGCATTCAGTTCTCGGGGTTGATTCTTTTCTTGTTACTTCTGTATGTATTAGTTTATATTGGTAAGCGTAATCCGCCTTTCTCACAGTTTTTGGATTATTACCTTCACAGTCCTTACACGGCTTGATTTATCCAGCTCAGAATTCTTGTTTCAGTAGAGTCTCAGTATTCATTATTTGATGTTTTTTGATTAAGACCTAATATCACAGGGTGTATGGGCCTGTTTTCCTTTCAACCGACTGGGATTTTCATTTGTGTCCTAGCGGTTCCCCACTACCTTTCTTTCCGCATCCTTCAGGTCATGATCTACCGTTTTGTCACGCGGGGTACTGTTGAGGAGCGTGTCACACAGGTGGCAAAGAAAAAGATGATGCTTACTCATCTGGTCGTTCGTCCTGGGATGGGTGGCAAAGGTTCTTGTCAAATGTCAAAGAAGGAGCTGGATGACATTTTGAAGTTTGGCACAGAAGATTTGTTCAAAGAGGGAGAGGAAGACAGTGAGTGTATTGTCGTTTCTCATACCTATCATGCTGCGGTACCAATCATCCATTAGTCCGTTTGCCACATTTGCGTAATACATCTGTATATTCGAGTGAAACAACAATAGTAAATCTCTCATTTGAACTCATTCATACCGTACAACCACACTGATTTGGCCTTAGTGTAAAATCTGAATTTTGTAAACAACCAATCAGGGTCAAGACACGTACACCTTATCAAAAACATACGGTCCCAAACAGCTAGCTATCGCTCGAAGCTAAAGCGGCATCGGCGAGACAGACTCCTCGTGGCTTTTACTGCAACGCGTGATAATCAGCTACTGTCCAACCTGCTATGGCGACCAGCCAAAAACATCCTCTGCGTTTTCCCCTTTTAGTATTGTCCCTATGCATAAACCTGTCTATGGCGAACACCTGTCCAAGGCGACCACTTTTTATCAGTCCCTTGAGTTGTCGCCTTAGACAGGTTTAACTCTATTGCTCCACAGGTATCATCTCAGACACAAGTTTAACAGGCTTTTTGAGTGCCTTTTCACTGTCCATCTTCCTGTTATTTCATCTCACTTCTCCAGCGTAGCCTTGTCATTGATGCTTTCCATGAAACCCACTTAACTTTCCACACGTTATTCCGTGTTGCTTATCGTGTAGTCTGGTCGAACGCAATGCTATCGACAAACTGAGCACATGCCATTTACTTTGGCTGAAGTTCGAATGTTTTGTTTTCACCTTGAGTACTGCTCTACCTTGAGTGCACTCGTTACCTAAATGCTATTCCCGTATCCCTCATTTGTCCAACACAGAAGAGGACGAGCACTGCATCGTGTATGATGATGCGGCCATTAGTCGTCTACTGGACCGAAGCCAGCAGGGGATGGAGGAAAAGGCCATAGAGATGAACGATTATTTAACCTCCTTCAAGGTTGCCCACTACGAGAAAAAGGGCGTGATGGAGGAAGAGGAAGAAGAGTCTGACGAAGAGGATGAACATCGTGAGGTGCATTATCGTCCCATTGTTAGTCCCTTAACGCTGAGCCAAAGTTCCGTGTCTGTTTGTGTTTTCGCTGCATCTTTTGTTTGGTTCATTCAGCTAAAGCCTTGATTTACTCACAGCTAGCCATTGTATATGACTTCCACCGGTTAACTTCCCTTGATGGAACCTATTGATAACTTATTTTGGGCGCTCACAGGTGCAATCGCAGCTCGCTCCCCGCATCTTGCATGTGTGCTGTGCTGTAACGTATTATATTTGCATATCACATGATTGCTCAGTCCAACTAACGACTCCAACAAATTGAGTTCTGATGCTATGGAGACTCACTCCAACTTAGCTGCCCACACATGGCGGTCTGCTGCTTCTACGCGGTAGTTAGTGGTTCTGCCATGGCGGACGCTCCTACTTTGCTCTGAGTAGCTGTGCAGTCACGTTTGACTGGTCGGATTCGATTTTTATTACCTGATTTTTGACTTGATTAAACTGCGGCATCCTACGACAAGTCAGTCCGTTCCTTCTATTTAACAACTGAACTGTACCCGCAAGTTGGATTCGAGGCAAATTCTGTGGACCGCGATCGTCGATCCACAATTAATGCACCAACAGGTCCTTAAAAGGCACTTGCCCCACACTCTATCCCCTATTTTACCCAGCCGTGGCAACGTTTCGTCTCTGGGTCATTTCCCCACACTTTCCATTCTTTTCCCAATCTCCAGTTCGTTTTCTCCCCCCCCCCCTCCGAAGCGCCGATCCACAGCTTATGATGATGATGCACCATCATCATTTTTAGGATAAGCAACTCTATCAATCGAAGTTCTATCAAATGGATCCATTTACCGATCAGCGCAATTTTCCGAAAATTTCTTGCGCCGCTTTATGTGTGTAATTAACCACTCAATATTCGGGGACTCGATTGTCACTATGAACTAAATAAAATGTAATGGTTTTATGCTGTAGTACCAACATGTGCACTTTTCACGAGCCACTAATCTTTGGCGTTAAAAAAGTCTCGCATGTCGCGTAACCTTATTCTCAATAAGCGACTCTTCGCATTTAGCCGCACGATTTAGACGCCGTGCACCTTTCTTGATGCTATCTTCCTTATTCTTGCTGAACGTGGGATAACCTTTGCACAGCGCTCTCAGCACAGTAATTCGCCGTCACTGAAGCTTGTTTATAGCATCTACGGCGTCACACAATACATCCGATTTGTAACTGCTGCGATGGATACGGAAAAAAAGAGAAGCAGCAGTCGCTCGCCGAGCTGACACCAACTACACCAATAAACCGATGTTGCAAGATCTAATGTCCACCATATGTGCGAACCATGTGTATTACAAACAGCGAGTCACCACGTTCCCATTATCTCTTGATCACAGTTCATCATTCGTTGTATCTTCGCGACGCCACTCAACAATCAGGGTACCCACTCCTCGTAATATTAACTGTTTCGGCTGTTTAACGGGTATCCCAGATCGCATTGTCTGTAATTCCCATGGATAAAGCATTGGTGGCACACTTTTTCCACCTAGTATCATCGTTATGAACATTAGGGATGTCGCCTCCGCCCATTTTCTCTGATTAGGTTCCTCAGTTCTCCTATTTCCCATCGGGTTCATAGCATCTTTTCTCACTCTTAAATCCTTTTTTCATGCGGGTCATTTTTCCATCAAAAATAGCAGCTCTACTGCGGGAAGTGTCGGCGGTGATTCAATCTGTTCCTCATTTTTCGACCCATTTAGGTGATCAAACAGGAATTAGATCCAGCCGATCCAACCTACTGGGAGAAACTACTCCGTCACCATTTCGAGCAATCTCAAGAGGACCAGTCTCGAGTACTTGGTAAAGGCAAGCGCTTGCGAAAGCAGGTAAACTATTCGGCCACCCACGAAGAGGAGGAAGAGTGGAATCAGGCAATAAGTGATCACGAGAGCGATTACTCCAACAAGGTAAACCCCGAACTCATCCCACTCTACTTTTTTTCTGCCTTTACTTGAAACCCCAGCTCGCTTCCGAGTGCAATTATGAAGCTTTGCTCGGAGTTTCTCTATTTTTGTCTATCAATTCTATGTTCGAATTTGACCCCCTCAACTTCGCTGTAGTTCCGTCGATGAGTAACTACGTCAAGATGAAAATTGAGCCATAGACAACTATCTACTTTTTGACAATCTGCTTCACAAGTATATTTCAAGCTGTCACACTTCGTAGCGACTGAGGTCCAACCAAGGCATCTGACCTCAGTCAGTTGCAGCCAGCTACTATCCTGATGTTTATCACTCCTTCATCCTTCTCCTCGCTATTCAACATGTTGGCCTGATGCGATCGCGCCTCAGTCATTATATTCAAACATTATGTAGGAACACGCTATTCCAGTGTGAATAAACATACACATTCCTACGCACAAAAAGATCAGAATGTAAACTAACTCCTTTGTTAGTCATTGCATGGGCCATTGCTGCTTGGGAATTCGGAAGTAATGGCACGGTCGCATCGTTTGAGATGCTGGTGGTTGTCTATTTTTAGATATCTGCGCTTGTAAGTGTCTGGGGGTACAGTGCTTTTGTGACACCTGTCTTACTTCTTGCTGTACCCCTTCCAAGTGCACAACTCAACTGAAGACTTCAGCACGCAAAATCAGGAATATTTTCAATGTCAAAGAGAGAGGGAAAGATTGAGTTGATGGATGACAAGTGGGTGAATCCATCGGCGAAAGTAGTGTAGTTCGCCGATGAGCGAACCTAGTTAAATGGTTGGCGTGCGATTGTAAAGATGACCTAATAGAGGCGAAGTAAACCGTCGTAGCATCGAGAGAGTGCAATACTTTGATTCATAAGTAGTCGAGATACTACCCGGTAGCCTAAACCGAAGTAAGTAGGTTATCTTATGGGACCACCGTCCCGAGCCTTTGGCCAAAGGACATAACCCGCAAAGCCGCAAGCCGAGATGGAAGTTTCGTCTCCGTTGGGTGCGGATGATTGAACGCTCAGTTACTATGCCTTTCGGATGGTTAAAAACCATACCAAGAGCCAAACTCTCCTAACATCTGAGGCAAAATCCGATGCTCGAATTGCTTGCGTGTATACAGTGTTTCCGAGGGAGACAAGGAGCAATATTTAATTTTTTTAGCGTATCCCATTCTCCACGTCAGTGTTGTTAAACAGACATTTGTGGGTTTTTAGAAGGATAATGCTTGTCAAGCGAAAACCCGCCACATCTTGGAACACTTCTACCGGACCATTTGATGGAACGGGAAATTCTAGAGTCACCCAACTGGTATCGCAGTAGGTTGTTCTGCAGGCAGACCTACCAAGAGAGTAATTAAAAGCTATTCGACTTAGCACAACGTCTTGCAGGCAATCACACCTTCTTAAGGCGTAGGCTTGTCTTTACTATGGCATATTCTGTTTTATAACCGGTCCTATGATAGGATTCCTATAAGCAACTTTCAGCGGCGAATCATACTACAGTCGGCAGTAGCCGTATGCATCCCCCTGTTTTATTAGTCTCCTTAAAATATCACAGTTGATGCTATAATATTTCTCGGATGATCTTATGTTCGATTCTTTAATTCCGATGTGGGACTTTTTTAATATGACCAGAACACTGTTTACTAAAGCGACGAGATTGCCGGCATCGTTATTATGGATAAAAAATGATATTACGGATAAAAACTACCTTTAAAAGCATTCGGGGCGATTTTTCAGCCTTCTAAAACTTAGCTTGATTAAAAATTTCATTTGCGCCTCTTATTGGAACAAGAGTCAAATTGTTTGAACGGATTTCCTTGACTTCCCGCTCTCCATGAAATCCGTGCGAATGACCACCCTTCCGTGACACTTGCATTTGCGTCATTCTTGAACCATGGTATTGTGCCAGACGCTGTTCTGAATGTGTAGTCGAACCCATGACTTCAAGTGACACACATTCATCCCTGCTATTTTAATCTCATAACCGCTGCTGATTCTAGATCAGCTGTATTCCCTGTATGTATATTTTCGCAGGACGAGGATGATGAAGAGTACAACGAACGGACGGACGCTGGAGGTGATGTGAACTGCATGGTGCGTCGAACTCGTCGTGATCGTGAAGGTCGACTCCCCCCATTGTTGTGTAGGGTCAGCGGTCAAATAGAAGTTCTTGGCTTCAACGTCAGGCAACGTCGCTCTTTCCTAAACGCCATTATGCGGTAAGCCACGTGTGTCTATTTTCATTCTTGATAGTATTTATCTCTCAGTGGATGGCTACATCGTTATCGGCCTTTACGCATTGATTAGTCTTATCAGCTTAACGTCTCCCCTCATCCTATGTTTACATATTTGTACTCTCGTTGGAACGTGACCCTCCCTTTTTGTTACACGGTTGTCACGTGAGGTGTTCCCTTCTCATTTCACTTGCGAATCAATCGGACCTTGTCAGACTTAACTTCATCAACTGCGACCAACGCACATTACCCATTTTGGCTCTTCCGAGTATTTGATTTGTTTATCTTAAGCCATTCCTGGCCTAACCGTGTGTACCGGTATCAGACCTCATCAAAGGACTTCATCATGATCCATCTAGAAATAACGCCCAATATTATATTTGGTCATCCCACGAAATCCCCATACATTGAATTCGTTCGGCAGTCTGCACTACTTCTTCAGCCCATGAACCTGTTCGCTTATGGCCCGCTCTCCGCAATCAACCTGTGGAAACCTTCCGGCATCATGCATTGTGTAAAACTCATTTCTCTGCCTAACGACTGAACATTCTTTAGCATAATTTTGCTTGGGTGCGATATGGACAACAAAATTCTCTGCTCGTTATATCGCGAAAGCATAACTTCATAGTAAACTATTACGTAGGAGCGAACCAGCAGGTACTGACGTTTTCGCCACTGTTATGTAGCCTCGATTTTTACTATTGAGCCTCGTCCTTGAACAATAACGTCATGGCAGTGCATTAAGGAGCATCATTTTCCTTATTTTTCTTGTCCAAACAAAGAGCTTGATGCATCCTATAGTGTAACTGAAAGTTGCCAACTAACTGATGAAGGCACGTAGATGGAAAGTTATACTTGATGTGTCCAATGGTCTGTCCTGCTTAATTCTCATCCGACCGGTCCTCTGGTTCAACTAGCCAATTTATCCGTCCTTCTGACGACTTGTTCCCATCACGAGTTACACAAATCGTCGTTCTCTCGAAGGTTGTTTTTCCCCGATCGGCCATATTGTCTTCCAATTCTGCAGGTACGGCTTACCTTCCATTGAGCTTCTTGGATCGGTACGCGACCTACGTTGCAAACCTGATCGAGTCCTGAGAGCCTACATCAGTCTATTTATGCGTCACTTGTGTGAGCCAGAGACAGAAAACTCCGAAACATTTAGCGACGGTGTTCCTCGAGAAGGTTTATCTCCTCAGCATGTGCTCAGCCGCATTGGGATAATGGCACTTGTTGCGAAGAAAGCAAGTCGGGTGTTGTTTTTGTTCATGCTTCCTATCTTTCTCTCCTTTTATCTCACACCTTGGGCGAGAATGCTACGTTTTCACTGCAATTGCCTTGTCACCACTTTCTACCACTAGAAGCCCACCAGTTCTCTTTGTTTTCAGGTAACCGCAATCTGTGAGTCCCGATGTCTTGGTACTCTAATGTGATTTTTCCAACAGCAGTCAATTATAATCGCATTACTTCTACCTAAGGGTATCAGTTCATGAACCATAGCTCTTCGTCCATACTATCCCATGGAACACTGGCGCTACCGTGTGCATCAGTTACTCTAAGCGGCTTTTGCTTTTCGCTTGTTGCCTAACTCAAGATCGCGATATAAAGTGTTAGCAAACAGCTCACACATTTTCGTAAATAACGATTGCGTTTTTAATATCCTACGGTTCGATCACGCGACTTCTAACCTCTTGGTCTGGACTACTTCCCTATTGTTGCATGGGAATGCAAGAAAGTTGTATGGAGCTCCAGTCGTCTGGATTCATGTTGTCTCCTTGTTTGGGATCCACGTAGCGGCCACGCCAATATGCAACAGTATCGCGCTTCATTGTATCGGTCATGTTCTTGTCCATCCAATCCTTTCTGAAGGTACCTATGTTGGTGCTGCCTGTTGCCCAGTCATCACAGACGCCTTATTTGGCATCTATTTATTCCATCGCTGTCCTCGAAAATTGTATCGTCTTGCTTACACTTGATCCATTGTTTATACATCATCCTGCGAGCTGGGCTCCTATTTTTTGACTAGCATTCAAACTGGTGCCAATCTCCGGATATGCGTGCTACTTTGCTTTTTCCGCTTTCTACTAATTTCCTTTGTACTATCACAATATTCACTGTTAATTTTCATACTCAGGTGAAGGAATTTGAGCGCATCAACGGCCGTTGGAGTATTCCGGAGTTGAGACCAAAATGTGAGGACGCTGTTGGGCCAGACAATGGGGATCGGTGCATCGATACAGCTGATGTCCTTCACTGCTCGGACAATCTTACGGGCGCGGACATGGATGAGACTCACTCGCCTGTCATGGAACCGCGTCTCGTCACTAGTGTGGTGGAAAAATGCAAGTTTGCTCCTAGCGGTGTAGTCGTTGAGGAAGCAAACTCAGCGGATGACGATAAAACAGAGCCTATGGAAATTGAGGAAACGAACAAAACGGTTAAGGCACCTAGATCCAGTGGGCTGGCTGAAACGCCAAATAATTCTACGTCCGAAAAGGTATGTCCGTCTGTATTTTCTATCTGCGGGAACGATTTTTCACATGAACATTTTGTACTGAAATTTTACGAACATCGTCAATGGAGACACGTTGCATCGTCAGTGGGCAGATGCGATTAGGTATGCTGTAATGTAATGGATATCCATTCACCATGACGCGTCTACAAGAAACTGAAACTTAACATCGGCAAGGTAGGAACACGGTATTATGCACAAATTGGCCCATTGATGACGCACCATAGCCCAATGCAAACGCGTTGTTCGTACGGATGGAATCGGATGAAGGAACGTTATTAACTTATAACTTCGCCGTTTCTAATACTAATTTGACCGATCCCGATACTCTCGCACTAGCCTAACTCTGTCCCTCGGTTCACATCCTTATGCACCCTTACCATGCTATCCTGGACAACCCAAATGAGTTGCGCGTAATCCAACGCTCACCGTTTTTACCTAGTGGTGTGCAGGTAAGACAGACTATGTGGGTTGTTGATTTCCTGCAATCCGTCGCTTAAATGCATGCCCCATCCATCTGTAGAAGCGACATCACACCAGCCCCCGTCGGTCAGTCGTGGGCTGTGGGGCGCGACGAGAGCTGTTGAAGGAGTCAGTATATGAATAACCTGATGTTCTTTGTCTACTGGTGTCCGCAGCGTATTGTTTGCGTTCACCGGGACCGCCGTATGAGCAGTGCTGACGTCCGTCGATTGATGCTTGGTATAGCCTTCTGACTTACGCCAGTCTAGTCACATCTTCACCTATCTGGTGTCTTCATTCGGCATATTCTGCTTAACACATCATTCCATAAATTCGTATTTGGGCTTGAAGTACCAGATCGAACTTCTTGGGCAGATTGTTCCATACTGTTTTCCTCCATAGATCACTGGATCTACCAAATGTATAAGCTTCATTACGTAGCTAGCATGTCCCATTTACAACATTGGATTCACTGTGACATGTGTTTGCCAGTTTCTTTCTCTTGTCCTTTTCTGACTCATCTGCCTTATTTTTTGCTTGCGATTTCCTCCTTGCTTTTACTGCATCTCTCGTTTCCCACTTACTCACAGTGCTGTATGATTCATGACTTCCGGTTTCGCTTCACATCATAGTCGTCAGTCTACCGGTTTTACAAAACTAACTGATCCATTTCTTCACCGGCTGCTTCTTTTGACTTTTATCTCACACATGTTCTTTATATTTTTACCCGACTAAAGTACTGCCTTGAATTCGCCCCGTAAAGCTTTAACGTGGTGTATGATGTGCACTAGTCAATTAGGGTTGTCGTCTGTTACCTTTTACTTCCTCAGCTTTTCTCAACGCGGTTTTTTCTCTCGGTGTTTGCGAACGATATTTTCCCACTTACCTTAGCCTACCATGATAGGTGAGCTTGCCCAGCTGGTTGCTGCGGACATCATCAAAAGTACCGAAGTCGACACCAAGGCTGCGTCGCTTTCAACTGCTCCAGAACGCCCTAGGGTCGGTTCCCAAGACACCTCAGAAAAGCCAAGCGAAACAGAACCCACTCAGCCGCACCCTTTTATGTTCAACATTGCTGACGGTGGTTTCACCGAACTGCACACAATCTGGTTGAATGAGCAACGCGCTCTCGTTAAAGACCGAGAGTCCGAGATTTGGCACCGACGTCACGATTACTGGCTCTTGGCCGGTGTTGTTCAGCATGGATACGGGCGCTGGCAGGTAAGTTGCCGTTTCCCTCGGGTTAACAAGCCTTTATTTTCCGCCCATCGTATTCAGCATCACTTTCTGGCGATTCGTTCGTTTAACGTGATCTGTGATTTGCCATCTGACTTAATATACTCACGCATATGTTTGGATGGGCTAGCTCCGAACGACAATCTGACTATTATACTGGGGCATCTGCTCAGGCTCTGTCAACTCGATTGTGTTGTTCTCATCTGGGATATTTTTCGCTAGGAAATGTTTGACCATTTTTGGGGGGAATATAATTTGCACGTCCACATTGGCACACAACTCTTGCCTCTCCCGAATTCATTGTGTTGTTGATCTGAACTTCATAAAAAACATAGTAGCCCGCACAAGTTAACTGATTATATATATATATATATATATATATATATATATATATATAATCAGTTAAATTGTGCGGGCTACTATGTTTTTTATGAAGTTCAGATCAACAACGCAATATATATATATATATATATATATATATATATATATATATATATGCAGATCATTACCAAACAGCCTGTGGCCACAGCAGAGTACACATCTGTATGTACAAACGGTTGAGTACTTGGTTGACAGCCATGCTGCGTCTTGGACATTTGCAAAACAATGCGAACACTGTTTGAATAGCCCCATGTTTGACAGTGGGCAGCGGGACTTAGTTGATGTGGTACTGTGGTAGTTGTTGTGCCAATGAGACCGTTAGCGGCGAAAATGTGATATTGCCACCTGTCAATGCTTAAGGTTGCGCAACAATCGCGCTGCAAATTATCAAATCGATCGGCGACACGGGGAGCTTTAAGTGAAAACCCTGTTTCATTCGCACGCTTTG